TGGGAACAAGGTGAAAGTGAATTGAAACTTCATCCCCGTCTCTGCTAAAGTGCTAATTGAAAAAGGAGGCATTAGCTGATAACTAGGGCCTCAGGCATCGAAAATGGTTTCTCTTTCAGGGGCTTTTGCACTCTAGGAGGACGCACTTGGAAGACCCCACATGCTCCCGTCTTCAGTGCTCTAACGGTGGAATGATCATTGGCGAGGTTGCTGTTGTTGAGCTGGGGCCTAACGTGAGCAGTGCTCAAGGCCTGGCCTTGTCTCCTTTCCTCCCAAGTAGCCCGCTATTCCCACTTTCAAATCACTGGGCCAGTTCCCAGAACTGTGATTCTCATCCCTTAGTCCCCGGACAAGGGACTTCCCACAGCAATTCCTTTAGAGTTCATAGCTCTGGAAAATGCCAGGCTGTAGTTTTCAAGGTCCTTCTCCCTCCAGTTGGAGACACTGAAGGCCAGAGAAGGGGTCCAGGTCCCACAGACAGCTGGTGGCAGGAGCAGGAGCTGGGTCTTCTGAGCCTCAGTATTTCCCAAGTGCTTAGCACATCCCTGGCATGGAGACTGGCCCAAGCTGTATTCACCCCTCTACTTGGTTCTCACTTCACTTTCCCATCAGGTGTGCCTTCCATTAACTTGAATTCATCGGCGTTAGCTCACACGAATGGTGGAGGAGATTTTGGTCCTTTTCCTATGTTGTTTGGTTTCTGAACCTCTGTCTCCTTGTCTGAGAAAAGAGGATAAGTAATGTTGGCTCACATTTGGCTCACGAGGCTGTTGTGAGGGTCAAATGATATAGCCTGGGAATGTGCTTAGCAGAGCGCTTATCACATGGTGGGGCTCCGTAGTTCCCCATCCCAAGGAGGGGATGGAGACTTGGCCATCTTAGTGGCTCCAGCACTCACTCCAGTGTGTGGCAAAGAGCAGGTGTTCACGGGATGACTGCTGAATGGATGAGGGAGTGAATGAATGTGACTTGGTCACCATGGCAGGTGCCTGGCCTTCCAGTTCCTGATGCCCTTGCACTGTCTTGTATATAAAATCTTTATTCGAGCAATACTTGTTCACTGATTCAATTTATCAGTTAAAAAAGTTATTATGTGATTGTTACGCACAAAATTAGCTTTCAATAATGCTGATGGCTAATCACAGCGAATATTTCTGAGCTCTTACGATGTCCCAAGAATTGTGCTTCGTGTTTTACAAACATTTTGTCGTGAATCTTCACACAAGCCCACTGAGGGAATGTATCAGTCAGCTACGTAACAACCTCTGGCATTCAGTGGCTTACAACGGGCATTCCCCCCCTTGCTCGTGTGTGTGTAGGTTGGCTGAGCCAGTGCGGCGTCCGGCTGTAGGTGGGGTGAGTTCAGGTCTGCTCCCTGTGTGTTCGTTCTGGAGCTGTGAGGCAAGAGGCTGCGGCTTCTTGTGATATCTTCTCATTATGAGCCACCAGAGCCCAAGAGAGCAAGCCCAGCCCCGCACCATGTTTCAATCTTCTCATTCAGTAACATTCTCTAAAATCTCATTGTCTAAAGCAAGGCATATGGCCGAGTCCGAAATCAAGGAATGGAGAAAAATACTGCATGCTCTTTGAGGCTGTGACAAGGGTGTAGAAGTCTGATACCCCCTTGGGATCAGTAATTCGACTGACCACTAGTAGGTGCTATCATCAGTCCCAACTGAGGCACGGAAAGTGACAGGCACTCCGAGTGCTAGTTGGGTGTCAGATGAGGTATGGTTTGAACCAGGGCAATTTAACTCCAGGATTATGGAGGGGTGAACACACGGGGGAGGGGATATTTGTTTTCTTAAATGATCTTCATTTTTCCACCCATTAGCTGCCGGTATCTGTGGGCCCCAACCTCTCTCACACATGCAACCGTCTATCCATCTGCTCATTCACACACATCCGGCATTTGGGCGTTCTCTCAACCCTCCAGAATAACAGGTGAAGTGCAATTCTTGGGCAATTTTGTGAAATGAACGTTAAGGGCGAAAATTGCCCTCCAGTTAATCTCAGACACGTGTATAAATACCTTTGGAAAGTCCCTGGTGGAATTAGTATCAAAGTGGTACCGTGATTTTACTTAAAAACAATTTGCTCCGTGTCAGCCATGATTTCTGACACCTGAATTTGAAAGTGATCCGGGTGGGCCCAGCGCCATCTCCATAACAGGGTCATGTGTTTACTTGGAGGGAGGAGAGGAAAGATCGAGGTATGTGTGGCCGTGGAATAATGTTCCACACAGCCTTACAGGAGGGGATTTCCTCCTCCGTGTTTCCATAGAACCTTCCCTGTGTTTGTTTAAGCCCATTGCACACTCCGGTCTGACAGCTGCCTGGCCCAGGGCCTCCCTGTACAACTAACCCTCTTTAATAGCACCCTGCACTGTGTCCCCTGATGCAATTACTTGAGTATATAAACTTCACTGAAAGGCAGGCTTTTCTTGGGAGCTCATAAATAAGCCACAAAGCCACAACATGTATAAGACCTTGAAAAATGGCATCATCATCTATTGGGAATTGTGAACCCTGCAAAAAGCAGCTCATTGTATTTTCAGAAAAAGGTTTTTGTTTAAAAAAATAATAATGAACACAAGTCACCAAGTGGAGTCTATATGGAAAGAGCAATGCCGTCTGAGATTCTGAGGCTGGTCTCTTGCATCAATCTCTCTTCGTAGATTTTATGTAAGGGGCATTTATTTGCAGGAAAACAAGACACAGTTTTGAAGAACCCCCGACTCGTCCAGCTTCCCATCTGCAGTTATAATCCTCTGATTGTGACCTCTGCATTAGCTGCCATGGACGCTGAACAGAAGTTTATGACCTCAGGGCAGGCTATAGTTTCGGGGGGGTTTGATGAAGCCTCCGGCAATATAGGTCGGATTTTCAGAACCAGAGGAAAGAGGGGAAAGGCAGGCTCAGGAAGCCCCCCTCTGCCGAAGGCCACCACCCTGCAGCACTTAGGAAACATTTTCAGCTTCACTTCTGGCTGCTCTGAGCACGAGGATGCTGGACCGTGGCCATGGGGGACATGGGCAGGCAAAAGGTTGTGTGATTGAAGACAAAGATTTTTTTTTTTTCCTGTCCCTTGGACGCATTTCCTGAGAGGCTGGGCTTAGCGCTCCAAGCGCCCCTTGAGCTGAGTCTTCCAAAATCCAGTGTCTTTTCTTTAACTGATGGCATCTTTGGTCAAGAGGCAGGGAGTCGACCACTGGTGTCATTTCCTTGGCCTCGGACAGCCCAGGTGGTTTTCTGGAGCGGGCGCCTCCGGGCCACTGCGGCAGGGCCCCGGGTCCCGCGGAGCCTTCCCCTCCCGGCAGAAGCAAACAGGCCGGGCCAGAGAGCCGGGCAGAGCCTTCGCGGGCTGCAAAAACAAAACAGAGATCGCAGAACCCACCAGCGCCGTGGCCTTGCATATCAATGTATGGGCTGGCTGCAGACCGCCAAGTTCGTTAAAAATGTCTCCGGCAGAGCGTCACTGGCAGACTTTAGGGGTTTCGGTTTGCTTTCTATTTAGAATCACCGCATCACCCAAACCTTGTTTACTTGCAAGGGGAGGGGGCGGGGACCAAACCCACCGCGCGGCGCACACGCCTTGATCTCACATTCCAGACTCGAGCTGCTGTGTGTCAGCGCGACATGGGGCGGAGGGGGCGGGGGGGGGGTTCTCTTCGGAGGTTTCATTCGCCATCTGCACGTCACTCCCAAACTTTTCCTCCCTGCGCTCGGGGAGTCAGGTTGACGCGCCCTGGATGCGGGGCTTGAGGCGCGGGGCTGGGCGCGCTCCCGCGGAGCCGGAGCCGCAGAGGCTCCGGGGTTGGACTCGGGCTTCTCAGGTACAAGTTGGGTGCCAGGCGCGGGGGTGGGGGCGGCGAGGAGCGGCGGCTGGAGGTCTGGCTCGGGGCTCCGGCGCCCCTCCGCGTTCCGGCCGGGCAGCGCGGGCAGCGGCGGGGCTGGCGTAGGGAGTCCGGGCCGGCGGAGGCTGCGCACAGCCTCACTCCCCGCGGCGCTCCCGGCTCTGTGGCGGCGGCGGCGGCCCAGGCAGACAATGAACTTGCGAGCGCGCCGAGCCGAGGCAGGTTTGAGCTCCGCGTCGCTCGGCCCAGCCTCCCCGAGGCCCCCGCGGACACCAGCGGGGGCGGCCCCTCGCCACCGGTCCCGGCCACCTCCGGGCGCCGCGCGCGCCGGGGACCCCGCGAGAAGGGCTGCCCGTCAGCGGCGCCGGGGCTCGCATGCTCCCTCCCTGGCTCGAGAGAATGCAGCGGGATCTCGGGGACAGGGGACCAGGAGAAGGGGTGGTGGCGCTGCGGCCAGCCGGAGGCCGGCGGGGGGCGCACGCCGCGGGGCACGCACGGGCCGGCTGCCCAGAAGAAATGGCCCCAGGAGTCGAAATCGGGGCGCCCCCGTGCCGCCCCGCTCTGGAAGCTGCAGGCGGAGGACGGACGGACGGACAGACACACCGGTGCTTTCACCGTGTGAGCGCGCCTTGGGGGTTTGGGGAGGGCGGGAATTCCCCCAGCCAGATGCTTTGCTTCCCCGCGCACTTCGGGGAAGTTTCCAGGAGCAGCCCCGGGCAGGTAAGGGGGCATCCGTCTCTCTCTCTCTCCGACTCCGGCTGGGAGCCACCTCCCGACCTCCCGCTCCGGTCCCGCGGCCGCTTTGGGTGGAGGAGGCGGGGGGCGGGGCGGGGGCAGGCACCGACGCCGGTGGGACCCGGTTCCGGGAGGGGACCCCGCGGGGGCGGGCGTGGGAGGAGACGGGGGCGCGGCCGGGCCCGGAGGAGCCTGAACTTTTGCTCCCCGCCCCCTCCTCCTTCCTCTCGGCCCTCCGCGCCCTGCTCCCTCCCGGCTGCCGGCCGTGGCTCCGGAGGCGGCGGGACTCGGGAGTTGCCGGCGCTTCTCGGCGGTGGCGTCCCCGGCGGGCTGGGCGCGGCGAGCGGCGCGCGGCAGGTCTGAGCGGCGCGGCGGCGGCGACAGCGGCGGCGGGGAGCAGGGGCTGCGGGGCGGCGAAGCTGTGCGGAGCCGGGGAGGCAGCGGCCCCCGTGCGGGGGCGACGCTGGCGATCGTGCTGGAGCGCGAGGGTGTCGGGGTGTGTGCAGGTGGAGAGGACGCGTGGCGCAGTTGGCCCTCTTGGAGCCTCCTGGGATGGCGGGATGGAGGCGCCCGGGTGAAGGGAACCTCGCCTTTGGGGAATGAATGAAGAGCTGTGAAAGCGCCTTCCGACTCCTCCGGGCGAACGGATTGGCCGGCGTGCGCGCGCGTGTGTGCGTGTGTGTTTAGGTTTCGGAGGCGCCTGGGTCCTGGGCGCGGCTGCTTGGCCGCCCCGTCGCGGCCCTGGTGCCCACGCTGCCCGCCCGCCCCGCGCCCGGGCTCGGCCCTCGCGGCTGGAGAGGCCGGCGGAGACACTGAAGGCTGGGGCTCGGTTGCCGGCTGCTGGCGGCTGGACGTATGCGCCGCGCGTAGGGAGGTTCGAGAAGCAGGCGGCAAGGCTGGGGCTGAGGCTAGCTCCAGGGCGGCGGGGGGCATTTTCCCGTTCCCCGCCTACGTTGGGTGAGTTAATGGCACGGAGTTTGGGGAATGAAGTTGTATTCTCAGGAAGCCCCAGGACGCCCCGTGAAGGGATTTGGCACACCGTTCAGTGAAATTGAGCAGGGGGCTCTGGTTCTAGGCTCCTTGGTAGTGCCCCCAGCCCCTCTTTATCAGCCGCGGTTGCTGTGAGGGCAGCCACCCAGCGACGGAGCAGAAAGCCACCTGGAGGGCATCTGCACCCCCTGCGTGGCCCAGGAGGAAACTGAGGTGTGGAGATTTGCCGGAAGTTCCTCTAGGACCTTCCCGCGCGGCTCTCCCTCCGAGCTTTCCCGCCCACCCCTTGCAGAATAAGGAATCCTCCCTTATAGAACATGGTACTTATTAATTTTACAAACTGCATGTTGAATCAGGATGTTTTAATTGGTACCTAAATGTGTACAAGTCATGCATGATTTTGCTTAAAATAGCATGTGAATAAAAAATATCTTTTAATTAGGTAGTTTTATCAAATAAGTTTTTCTCTACAATACTCCTGGAAGATTGGCAGGAAAATGTTCTTCTTGCTTCCTCCTGGATGGGGAGCGTGAGCCAGCAAGGTGAGACCGCTTGCCATGGTCTCTGTCTCAGTGTATAATTTGATCCAGAAGTGGAGCTTCAGGTCTGGACATCCCTTCAAGGTCTAGCTCCCCAGGAGAACCATCTCTAGGGGCCTGGGAAGGAAATTCAACAAGGTCTGTCTTTTCTCTTCGGATCATTGCATGACTGCAGTGAGCTAGCTTGTGGCTGAAGCAAGCAGCATTAATTCACCTAGGATATGGGGGGGTGGGGGGTGGGAGGGGGTCAGGTCTGTCCAGAGTGGGTTACACCTAGGCCTTGCTTTTCTTTGATGACTAGAGCTTGTGATGCCTGAACTGCGGTCTTGGCCACGGATCCCAGCACTGTCACCGTGGCGTCTCTGTGGGCTGCTTTCTGTACCTTTCTCTCCTCTGTTGCTGCTGGCCCTGGCCAGGAGAGGAGAAGCATTCGGTTTTCCAATGCCAAAAAGAGAGATTAATCTCTGCATCTGGAAGAGGCAACGTTTGCAGGAGAGGTTGGGAAGTGGATTGTGCTTATTTGGCGTTTGGAGAAGAGCATTAAAGAAACTCCAGATTAACCAGTTGGGCCACGGGAACCTCAGGCCCTTTGAACCTGCACTGTCAGAAGCTTTAGATTAGTACTGGGTTGTGATTAGACTGTGGTTGTCCAAGGCCATCTAAGGCCCAGCTGGAAATCGCCCTTGCAAGCATAGGGAGAGAGGGAGGGGAGGGAGAGTCTGGAGCTACCCTGAATAGGTGAACCCATGCCCCACCTATAAGGGGCAACTCTTAGTCAGCCTCAGCCAGTTGGAGAAAAACAGACTTGCAGGTCTTGTAAATTTTCAAGAGAATTCTCAAGCGTGGATATTCAAGTGGGGGCTCAAATGTTAGAAGTGGAGTAAAAGGTTGGGGTGGGTGCAGCACCAGGAGGCTTGAGGCTTGTCATCTGGCCCTGTGTCTGTTTAATGGGAGGAGTCTCCCACGGTCAGGGAGATGTGGCACATGATAGGACATGTGGATCACACCCCCAGGGGCTCAGGGACTAAGAATTGGTGGGTGCCCACGTGCCAGGCTCCTTCACATGCTCGTGGGTCGTGCGTTCATTGGGTAGCTACTTGATGAATTCCCATCACGTGGAAAGAGACTCTGTGCTCAAACTTTTCGTATAATTTCATTGACCAAATAGATGCCCTGGTGGAGCATCTGGGGATGGTACAGTGATAAGACAGGCCTAGTCCCAGGCCTCGCAGGAGGGGAGCAGACAGAAAGGCCTGTAGCAGCTTTTCAAATAAACCTCGAGCTGGGAAGGACAATATGGCAAGAATAGTGCTGGAGGGGGTGGGTTGGTGGCGAGGAGTCTCCTTTTATAGATGTGGACATTGAGGCTCAGAGCAGTTGGCTGACTTGCCCAAGGTTGCACAGCTGGAAAGTGGAAAGTCCATTCAGGTCGCCGATCCCCAGCTCCCGGGCCTGCTCTCATCCTACCACGCTGTGCTGGAGCCTCTTGGAGGCTTCCAGGTGAACGCACACCCCCTGTGGTGGGCAGCTCTCCCCTTTCCTTTCCGCTTGGTTGGACCCCAGCCCCTTGCCTGGACCTTCGTAGGTCCAGGATTGCAAAGATGCCATTTGCAACCGTGTGTCAGAGAGAGGAATTTTCTTAAATTCTAAAAGCGGAAACTATGTTTAAAAGTAGTAGTTGGCGCGGGAGTGTCATTTACGTGAGCAGCCAACCGGCGGGCACCTCTTTAGCAGCGTGTCATTTAGAAGTGATGCTTTCAGTCATTGTTGAGAATAATGCAACTTGTCTTCCCTTCCGCTCTGTGCGCTGGGAGGCTCGGGAGTGATACTCACTTACTGCCATGGGTGATTTTGTTCCTGTCGTGCGACTCAGGAGGTTGTGTTACTTAGCCGACCAGCTATTTGGGAGACGGAATGTTTTGACACGCACAATGTATTTCTTTATTGTTCTCAAGTGCTAAGGTCTGATTTCCTTCCTGAGACGCCCCCGGGGAGAAGATGACCTGTGTTTTCACAGCATGAAACAAAGCATAAAGGGGGCAGTTACCCAGTTAGTGTATCCCAGCCAGGAGAGCTGGGAAGAAGAGTAAAGGTTTTGTGTTGATTTGGGCCAATACGGATTTTTTTTTTTTAAACCTATGGGGGTTGGGGAGGGAGATATTTGGTCATGACAGCTGTCATTTGTTGGGTCCCTACTGGTTCCCACCTGGCCCTGTGCCAGGCAGGTCAGGCAGGTACCCCCCTTTGTCTCAATTAGAGGCAGGGAGGCTGTTTGAGATCACACAGACCAAGTTTTCAGCCATCCCGATGTACAGGAGGGAGGATGAAGAAATGACAGTGGAGGAAGGAGGGAAAGGAGAGCCGGGGGAGACGAAAACTGTGGCTTCCCCAGAAGGGGAAGGCGGGTGTGAATCAGCAAGTGGTTAAGTTAGGGGGAGGTGGCCCCGGACAGCAGGTTCTCGGTCTCGGCTGGTTTCAAAAGGGATGCGCGGAACCTTGAGCGGCGTCTCTTCCATCCGTGGCCGCGATGTGCAGCATGTATGCCCGGCCCCAGGAGTGGGCCCTGCGCGGGGCCAAGAGAGCGGGCCAGGACCCGGTTAGCGGCTCTGCGCTCCGAGTGGTCCAGGGGGGACTCCATGCCCTGGCCTGACGCCTGCTATCTTATATGTGCGTTGACACCTGCCAGGTGCTTGGAGCATGCCTGGAACCCAGTAGGCACTCAAGAAGCACTGGCTCTTGGGGTATTCTTGAGCTCTCATAACCAGGGGCAGAGGATGTGTCCGGACTCCCTGAAATTGCATGGACAGCTTTGGATGAAGATGGGAGATGTATCTGTTTCTGGGGGGCGGGGCATCATTTCTAGCAAATTCGACCTCAGAGGGCTTCTCTGACACCTCATAAGGCCAGGAGCCCCAGGAGACCTAGATCCTATTTGGGTTTTCTTTGATGGGTTGCTTCACCTCCTGGCGCTGTTTCTTCATGTGTGCGAGGAGGGGCCGGATAAACAGCTGCTTTCTGACCCTTCCAGCTCGCTCCGTGGGCAGGCTTCGGATCAGTTTGGCTGTGTTTCCACTTGTCACAATTAAGCAGGGGGCAGATCGGGCAGGTCTCGCCGGAAACATGCTGGAGTAGCTTGCTTTTGAATGTTACGTCTTGAGCCCCACTCTGAGCTTAAAGGAGTCCTGAGCAGGCTTGCAGGGGCCGCCTTGCTGGGGCAGGCTCTCTCTCCTTGATACCTATATTACATTTCTAGAACCCGTCCTGGTCCAGGCCTTTCAGGGCTCAGAAGAAAGCGAGGTTGGCAGATCCTCAGAAGCAGAGGGTGTCATTATAATGGAAACTTGGACGCTTTCCAGAATTGTGTTTGTGATGAAAATATTGAAGCAGGCAGCCTAGTCACCCAGGTGCCTGGAAAATACCCCACCATGGGCAAATAATTAGATGCAGACCGGGTGCAGTTATTTTTTCCTGCAGTGTGCTGGAACCTGGTTGTTTCACATTTTCTCTTAAAATGGAATATGCTCCTCCCGATCCATTTGCTCCCCGGGGCAAAAATGTCAGTGGTGGTCTGGGTGCAGGAGGCAGGGCCCTGAGGGGTGGTGGTTTGGTCCCTCCCAGGGCAGCCCTGGGTCTCAGCGGAAGTTCTGTCCTGTCTGCTGTGCCCTTGAGGGGACCTGTCCCAAGGGCCTGGGCCTGTGGCATCTTTGCTGTGAGCTTGGAAGGTTCCAAACATTCCAGACTCTGACAGGTCTGGGAAGGTGGATTATTGTGTCCTCCCCTTGCCCAAAGGGGCTGGGTAGCTCTGTCTGCCCCTCATGCCACGTTCAGCCAGCACCTTCATATTTGCAGTGAACCAGGAGCTTGGTGCCTCCACGCAAACATGCTTTTAGCCTGGGTGTTGAATCCCTTGGAGACCCTTGCAGAGACAGCACAGGTGGTGGGTGAGCCCTGGCACCACATTGACCAGGGCTGGAGTCCCTCCTCTGTTTCTTTGTTCCATTACCGTGACCCTGGGCAAGTGGCTTAACCTGCTTGTGCCTCAGTTTGCCCCTCGTAAAAGGGGGTTAATAATTTCTCCCTCATATTGTGTTTTGAGAATTAGAAGTCGTACAACTTCGGGCTCAAGGGGTCTCCCCAAGTTGAGCTCCTCTTCCTGGTATAAAAGAATCCCCAAGTTGGTAGCATATTGCAGGAGTTCTGAAACCTCTGGCGAGAGAGAGGGGAGGAGGAAGATGGATGGAGTTAAAAATGGGGTGTTTGTCTCCAACTGAAGCAGACATTGGAGAAGGTGGCTGGACTGGTGGGCAAGGGGGCATCATAGTCTGAACTGGAGAGCACTGGGCAGTCGGGTCAATGGCCCCCCGTGCCCGCCGGTCCCAGCAGAGTGGGAAAGGTGCAGCTTTCCTCCTCCACGGGCAGCTAGCAGGG